GTTTCCTGACTCTCCAACCCCGCCTCTATGGTCAAGAACTTCTCTGTTGCCTCTCCAATGAATCTGTCGATTCTTTCAAACTTTTTGGAGCTGGAGGCGACAAAGCTCATCACCACCTCCTCAAGGTGGGTCATCCGGTGGTACTCTACGTCCTCATGGTTCCAACTTCCACCCCACTCCATAGGTGTTGCTACCCCGCTTACATGCCCTTTATCCTCAAGCATCACCCTGATCAACTGATCTAACTTGGCTTCAAGTGGGGTCCTACAGTTTCCCATCGAAGTCGGGGCTTGCTAGGAGTCGGAGAGCCGGGTTTATACCCTCCTCAAGTGTTAGTAAGGGTGTCGGGTTGCTCATGGTCATGCACCACCTACGCACAATCGGAAAACACCAAGTCTAGCATAAGCAAAGACCACACACACTTGCAAAACTGGAAATTAAAAGCTAGCTTAACAACCAACAACTTTTTCAGAATAACAGACTGTTGTCCCCAGCAAGCGCGATAAAAACTTGACTCACACGAAACTACACCACAATTAAACCCCAATTAGAGCCCAAGTTTTTAAACTCTAATCGGGTGCAGTATAGGGCAAGTATTTAGATATCGACCCTGGCCGGTCCGTCTATCCCTACTTCCATTGTTGAAATCATTATCTAGCAACTAAACTTTGGTTTAAAAGATTTGCTAATTGAAGTAAAAGAAAACAAAGGTGATTGGGTTTGAAAACTCTTTTGTGTGCAAGTCACTCGGGTTTCGCTTCCCCCTAACCGCTACCATGATATGTGGATTGGAACGATTGCCTTGGGCACGTTAATCGTCAACTGCAGAGGAAAACCAACTCGATTGAGTCTCCCTTGAAAGGGGGATCTTCCTCTCTAAACTAGGCTAAGGTGGCAAATTAGATTACTAGTACCTAAATGCACAAACTTAGGGGTGATAAGCACAATTATGAACAATCCCTACGATGCCAAGCACAAAACGTGCACAAACCCCTAAGTTGCTAAGTACACGCATGCACAATCATGGTGAATAATGCCTCAAACATTGAATTGAAGAATACCCAATAACAACCATCCAAACCACATACAAGAATACTACATGGTAGAGTTAGGGTTTCACTACATCCAAGTGAAAGGAGGTCTACTCCATGGTAGAAGTGGGAAGAACAAAAGGGGAAAAGGTGGAAACCATCTTTGGGGATGCCTCCTCTCTTCTTGACCCTTGAGTTGAGCTTTCCTTGGGGAAATCTTCCCAAAAGTTTGCCTTGAAGCCAAACCCTAACCTTCTTCTTCCCTTTGGTTCTGTTTATCTCACTAGAATGCTGAAGAAGGTGTTTCTCACAAAAATGGGCTCTCTCCTCTCTCCTCCTTTCAGCTCAGCTTTTAACCCCGAGAAGAGCTGAGTTCACGGCCGTGAACCATCAAATGCGTCCGTGAACTCAAGGGGTGCGCCAAAACGCTCTGCATCGCTCACGTCCGTTCACGGGCCACTGCTTGTGTTCACGGTCTTAGTGATCGTGAACTCACCTTGCGTCAGTAACCTTCACATTGGCTCTGGATGCCTCGCGATTCACGGTCAAACTCCCCTTCTTCACGGTCTTGCATGACCGTGAACTCCTTCAGTTAACCGTGAACTGACGCTTTTTCACCTCTTCTCCCGGTTTTCGATCCTTTTCGCCAATCTTTCGAGTCCGAGGCTGGTTTTACCTGTTAAATCCTGAAACACACTCAAACACGAAGAACCTAGCGTAAAACCGACCTTTAAGGAGCGAATTTGACACAAACATCTAAGTAAAATGAGGGCAAAACATGTGCAATTAGGCCTGAATCAGCCGTCGATCGGGATGTTGTAGTTAGAACGAGTCAATATTATACTTATTATTACGTATTATCCTTGTTTTGTGTACATATCATAAACATGACAAACAAATAAAAAAGAATAGTATGATAATTTTGAACTTTTAAGTTCTAAATTCCAAACCCTTAAATCCATGATAAAGCATCTCAACAAACAAAAGAATGTTACTAATCTACAATGCCTCAAATTCTTGATAAATCTTGGGGTTTTTAACAGCCCTGGCTTTGGCCCTGTGCTGATCAGACACACAGCACAGGGCCTTCAAATGATTTGGGCCTCACAATCAAGCCCATACATACATATACATGTAAAAAAAGAAAGAAGAACTGCACTGTGATTTGGAATGGGTTAACCTTGTGACTTTTATTTTTTATTTGCTAAGCGTGTGAATGAGATCCTATCCATTTTTTTTTTTTGCAGGAACGTAATTGAAAATTTAGAGGTCTTGTATCATTTGACTTGTGGCCGTAATTATCTTTTTTGCTTTTATATATTATTTAATAATTTTTATTAAATTTTCAAAGAAAAAATTTAAATTTAAATTTTTAATTTTCGCAGCATGCCTCCCAATATCATGGACCGATCCTAATTTCTAAATTACAAAATCCTCATTTTTAAATACATAAAATAAATGACTTCTAAGTAGGCGAGCCCGTATCAGTATCATAATAAAAAACCTGCGCGAGCCCGCTACGACTCCCACGTGCCATGTTAAGCGTCGTATTAACGCAGGACTCTCCACCATCCGCCGGATGGCTGAAAAATCCAACGGTCAGTATTCCATACCAAAATTTCTACCTCTGAACCGAAAAGGAAAAACAAAAACAAAATTGTTGTTGAACTGGTTTTAGTTTACAAACCCTAGACCCTATCTGTCCATGGTTATGACCTATAAATAACGACGGAATTCTGTCGATTTTCTCTTATAACCACACTCTGTGCTCCTAGAAGCGGCTCTTCTCTCTATCCACAGTTTTCCTCATCGGAGTTGTCACGCCGTCGCCGCCATGTCTGACGAAGAGCATCAGTTTGAGTCCAAAGCTGACGCTGGAGCCTCCAAAACTTATCCCCAGCAGGCTGGAACCATTCGCAAGAATGGTTATATTGTCATAAAAAACCGTCCTTGCAAGGTAGATCGGTTTCATCCACTTAATAGTTTCTTTTTAGGGATTCGAAGCATTAGATCTGTTTGGAGTTGCGGTGAACTAATCGGCGAGATCTCTTTTCCTTTTGCTTTCTGAATCGTTTGAATTGTTTGTCTTAGGGTTTCTGTGGAGGTACTGCCAGTAGAATTATTTGTTTGATGGTTGAGGTTAATAATCTGGGTTTGTATCTAATCTGTGATTAGATCAGTTGTAATATGAACTTTAGCTTCAAAGATTTGTTGTGTAGGGCATGGTACCTGATTTCTGTGATACGATGTCCTGTATCCATTACATCTTTATGGGCTTAAGCGATGAGAATTTCCCCACTTTATGATAGGATTTGGCCTTTATTCATGGCAGGTTGGCTTGCCGTTTTACCTTATACGAATTGAAATCGACTCTGTCCATCTAATTGTTTGTAGGTTGTTGAAGTTTCCACCTCCAAGACTGGCAAGCACGGTCATGCCAAGTGCCACTTTGTTGCAATTGATATCTTTAATGGCAAGAAGCTGGAAGATATTGTTCCCTCGTCCCATAACTGTGATGTAAGTCAACTGTTCATGGCCTTTTTACCGATTTTCACCATCTTCTCAGGATTCGTTTTGTTCTTATTGTGCGGATGTTGCTTCCCCATGTAGGTTCCTCATGTGAACCGTGTTGATTACCAGCTGATTGACATCTCTGAGGATGGATTTGTAAGTGACTGTTCTTACTGTCCTTGCATGGTGTACATGATTTATGCCTTTTGACCGCTGTCTTTGGCGACTTACATAATTGTGTTTGTTCTGTTATGATATTAGGTGAGCCTGTTGACTGATAATGGCAACACCAAGGATGACCTGAGGCTTCCCTCTGACGAGGCGCTTCTTACTCAGGTTTGTTGGCAATTACATTGGCCTTGGAGCTTTCAATTTATTTAATTACAAAGTCAACCGTTCCAGCTAACTGGTTATCTAATGTTTCGAAATTGTTTTTCCACCTTGATTGCCAGATCAAGGATGGATTCGGCGAGGGTAAAGACCTGGTTGTCAGTGTGATGGCGGCAATGGGAGAGGAGCAGATCTGCGCTCTTAAGGATGTTGGCCCCAAGTAAGAGTGCCAATGAGAGGACATTGTGGGTAGGGGAAAGGCGGGGTTTGAGAAGTGCAGTGGAGGGGAGTTAATTGTAGTCTAGCAACGGGTCTCGTTGTTGCTTTCTTTTCTTTTTGCCCTTATATTGTTGAGTTCGGTTCTTATGTGTGGGTCGGGGAACGTGTACACATTTCAGTAGCAGTTTTTGAGATGTGCTCTTCACCTACAAGTCGCCCAGCATTATTAGCAGGTTTGGTGGTTCAGAGAAGTGCAGGACCAGGATTTTTCTGGGTTGTGTGCTTGTTCGTACCGTTTACTTTGTATTAGACGGGTTTGCATACAGTTTACATGGTTGGTGTTATAGATTTCTCAATTTTTGTGACGTTTTATTGTGTTGCCTCTTGTATGAGATGATGGTTTCTGTTGGATGTTGAATGTAAAAGTAGTGCAAGGCCAGTAATTCGATCTGAATCTTATCCAATTTTCTTCCATGGTTTTACTTCAGAGCGTATTGGTCTTGTAAGATGAAAACAAAGCATGGGCTTTCCTGTTTCGTTGCTGGTTTTTATGATGGTTCGAATTCTGATGTTTCGGTAAATATTCCTCGACTTCTGCACTCTGCTCTCCCTGTTCTGCTTCTTTCTCTCTGTTTCCATCCGACTCTAGATTTGTGCTGCACTGAAATTTCCCTCTAAGAGACCTTTCCTCTCCTCTCCAACTCATTCAAGTAACTTCGTACTTTGCTTGATGGCAGAGTGAAGTTTCACCAACCCCCTTGGCTTACTCCCTAATCTTTGGGTTCTCCCTGCCACTACCTGATTCTCATTCTTGATGGATAAAAAGATGCAAATGAATCGCTTTCCCCTAGGAGTTTGCTTGTCAGAAGTCTGGAAGATAGAGCAGCTGGAGATGTGTGTAGTAGAGATGCTCTCCAGAATCTGCCCTAAAATGCCATTATATATAATAATGAAAGAACAGATAAGCTTGTGAAAAACCGTATACCGTGCTTCTGAAACCCGCTGGAATAGATCAGGCCAGATTTTACCAATTGACATAAACAATTGTTCAATGGCTTAAAAGAAAGGATTTATCTCTCTAGCTGAATATAGTCTGTTGTCAATCCGTTTGAAGAAGTTGAACAATAATGCTTTCCCTTTCATACTTCTATAGACGTCAACATGGTATCAGAGTTGAGCTTAGTTGATCAATGTTGTGCTGGTTTGCCAGCAAATTTTATGACTGTTCCAAGCCAGTCATCGGGTATGCTTCCCCTCCTTATTTCTCCACTTAGAGCTCTTTGGGAGTGGCTCGTTGCAGCCTGTTTGTGAAACAAAACCAATTATCAGCAACAGACAGCATATTCATCACCATTCACCAGAGATGAGGCAAGGAAGAGATTGTGAGGTGTTCAGGGATACAGCAGTATTACCTTTACAATGTAGACGTCAATGCCTAGTTTTGCAATCATGGCTGCTTCTGCTATCTTGGTCACCATCCCTCCTGTTGTGTCGTGTGCAGCTACAGTTATTTCAACTGTCCAACCACAAAGATAAATTGCACATTTCAGTAAATAATCACTGAACGGGCAGGACAAATTTGGTAACAGGTACATTTGATTTGAAACCTGGCTTGTTTGTGCTTCCATAGTTCGGTTTCACGACAGACCAGCTCCCTTCCTCAGTCACAGCTGCAAGGGTGGTTGCACAAGTTGGTTAGTTCTTTCTAACCCATGCCATTTCTACATTCAGAGTCTACTTAACTGTAAATGTAGTAACACACACCAATCTCCCTCAACAACACTGCCTCAGGTTCTGAAGGTGGGCGATCATAAACGCCGAAAACATCTGTCTTTAATAAGCAGTCATGGGATAAACAAGATAAAAAAGTTGTGTAGCTGTAGGAAACCATGCAAATGCTATCTTTAAAAAAGGATACCAGGAAAATGACGTATTCGGGTTTCAGGTAGGCTGCAAGATGTTTTATTATCACATCGCCACTCAAAATGGTACAACCCTTGTTATGAAACCACAATTGAAGGAGATGACGAGTCAGCAGTAAGTTAATGCACAAGTGTCTTTTTAATCTTATTATCCAGATTTTCACAGAAGAAACTGACCAGTTGACTATCAAGGACAGCATCTCCATGCAAAACCTAAGAAGCAGGCAACCAAAGCGAAGACACTGATTAGATACACTTCTCAAGGGGATATAATACAAGTACAAAGGTCACGTTAAAGAGTAATAATCTCCAAGTGCCACAGCACAAGTTGTATTCAGGTTTCTGTTTTCGCACAAGTAATGGGCCTTGTTCCAGGCTTGTAAGAGATTTTTCTGGGTGGCCACATGAATTAATTCCTTTACACGCCAGATTTCAGCACCCAATTCTGGGATGTATTATTTTTTCTTTTTTCTTTTTGACAATTATGGGATGTAGAGTTAAGGTAGCCTTACCGGCACAAATCCTGACTCAATCGCTTTAACAACCATTGACAGATCAGCTGATTCTAGCTGCAGTAAAACAATAATCCAGACTCAGATGGGAGTTACTGCAAATGTTCAATGAGGCTGAAGTGGAGACTGAAATAATTGATGAACATCAAGAGCATATTATGCCTCTAACATTTCTTTCAGATGTTAGCCATCCACATGAGAACGGAGACATGCCAACTGACGGGATACCAGCTGCACAAAACAAAGAACCATTTTCAGTGACACTCCATATTGACAAACGAGAATCGAAAAAGGGAAGGGTTCAGGTAATGCTGCTAGTATCGGCCTCAAATATGAGTCATAGTTAAGCAAAGTCGTACCTGCAGCTAGTGCTCGAACAATTTCAAGATTCAGAGTAGTAACCTGAAATGGCACACGAAGAAATGAATTCGAAATTACAGCTGCATGAAGACAATAATCAATTAAAAAAGTAATCGAACATACAATATTCCCAGACAAGAGTTGCTTAGAGATACGAAACAAAAAATGCCTCTTTTCTTCTTTTACATTTCATGGATGTTACGTTGATGCAACAAACTAATGCTATTGAAGCCCATGTTAAACTTTCAAAACAGATACAAATAAAATAATGCTAATATTGCCTTCATTATTGTGTTACTTATTCCTCCTCCATTCTAGTTCCACTAAATAGGAACACATAACACAAATCTTCCTTTTCGACTTTTAAGGTGATCATACTTCAGCTCAGCAGCAGTTCATGTTTTGGAATTCCAACTGAGAATTAGGAGCGGGGATGAACTGAACAGAAGACAAGTGCAGCAGAATCTTACTGAAATCCGAGTGGCTACGAATCCAGCCTTAACTAGAGATTTATCCAATCCGCCTTTATGGACTCCTGATTTGCTGGCTTGAAAATGACCAAAAGAGCCTGAAAAAGCCAAGAAACAAGGTTGCAGCATTAGCTAAGTCGCTACGCGCAGGTCTTGTTTCAACCTGACAACGCTTTACGAAAACCAGAACACACAAGTGCCTGAAAAGGAACAACCTGCTCCATGGACAACTACAAAGTTGCTTGAATCACAAGAAATTTGATCATAAAAACCACCCACATCACAACAAAGTTCAGATTCCCCAGGCCGCTTGCTCCAATCCATCCCAAGAATCTTCTGGGAGTCAGGCCCGGAAGACATTGCTTGCCTTAACTGGGAAGAAACAGTCCCTAGATTCTCTTCATTAATCTTCTCTAGCTCATTCTTGCAAGTAATTGCTGCACCTCCTGCACCCCTCATAGATGAATACACTATAAGACATCACATTTATTTGAGCTTCGTAACTTCTCTGTATTGATCATTGTTCATAAAAGCCCTAACACGAATCTATTTAAAGAAGTGTGAATCGCCCACTATAAGTCAAGTCCAAAGACTAGATTTTGACTGGAGATCACGAATCTGAAATACAAGACGAAAGCTAGAAATCAACATAAAGAGAGATGGAAGGAAGAACGGAGACCGAGTTTGACGATGCAGCGAATTGGCCTCGTCAGACCTTGACATGCGCCAGAGTTCTCCATCCCTGTGTGGGTGGACTTCGGTTCGGGTACCGCGCAAAGGTTAAGAACGTTGTGGGGTTGAAGGAAGAAGATCCGTACAACTACCACTCTTACTTTCCGGCAGTCTGCTGCACTGGAAGTGTGCGTAGTGATTCGAACGGCTGACTCGTCCACGGGACAGTGATTCGGCCCGTTTTATTTTACCAACTGAACCGTTAAACATCGCCTAATTTTACTATTATCGTCATAAATTAAAACATACTATTACTAAATTACCCATTATCAATAAAATAAAAAAGAAAAAAAAATGAGATGAGCTCTTTCCTCTCTGCCGCCTGGTTGGACACCTTCTTCTCTCCCTCTGTGCGGCAGTGTTAGCGGCTACCCTTATCAATCAGGGTCAACAATGGCCGCACACATCCGCCATACCACTCACCAACAAGAGCGGTGATAAGAGCTCGCGTGGCGCTATTTGCCCGCGCGGGGGGGGGGGGGGGGGGGGGGGGGGGATGAGCATAGAGCTCCGTTGGTCCCTCTCTATTCAGAGAGGTATGGGAATGAGATCCGGAAGAGATTACGAGGTTTCCCAAGAGATGTGGATAACGCATCGCCCACTTCTCCAGTTAAACGAGTTCGGACTTCTAAGATGACTGCCTGGCGCTTTCGATTGCCATCGTCGAGTGAGGTGGATGGGGATGGAAAGGGTAATAACCTTCCTCCGCCAGTGTTAAATGGTATTAAAGGGGACGTGGTCAGAAATGGCGCACCTCCTCCGACTGAACTCAGACCTCGCGATGAGGCGAGTTTATCCAAGTCGAATAGTGAGATCCTAGTGTCGGACGTAAACCCCCTGACCTGGCCGCCGACACCGGTGCTGATCCGGGAGCACTTACGAGTGCGCGTGCTGGACGACAAACGGGCTGGTCCAGCCTTTCCCCGTTTTTCGGAATATCGTAACGGTATGGGGGGTTTACTCTCTCTCCGTATCCCTAAACGATGTGGCAAATCCTGGGGAAAAATTATTAATCCTTTTGTAATTAAATCCCACAGAGTCCTAACCCTAAAGGGTCAGTTACTGCCGCAGGGGTTCTATGACTCAACCTTCTATTTAATACTTTGCCCTAGCTGTGATAGTACGTATTTATCACAAACACGAAGGCAGCTAGCGGCAGTACAAAGAAGAGCTCCCCCTGCAGGCTCGAACTGGACCGTGGTAAGTGGGGTTTTGGTGTATATAGCCTTATCAGAAGACTCAGGTCGAGTGTTATCCCGATTAGAGTTTTCACTTACACTTTTACCTGCTTCCCTTGGTCGGTTTTTTGCTATTCTTCTTGTTGCGCTGCTGGTGACCATTCTTTACTACTGGCACAGAAAAACACCATGTCACACGCCACCAAGGATCAGGTTGTGGAGTTCTCCTTGGAGGAAATCCACTCGACGAAGATACTCAAGTCCCGGACGTTGTTGGACCGCCTCTTCACTGACAATAGGATCTCCCCAACGGAGCTGCGAGACTCGGTTAACAACCCATGGCAAGGGCATGGCAAAATCCGAGTACGACTGGTGGCTCACGGGCTCTATGAGTTTGTTCTCCCAACGACAGCTGCTAAAACCTGGGTTCTCGAGCGAACGCCATGGGTGATCAGAGACAAAATCCTTCACTTGAGGACATTGACTCCGTCAATCAACAAACGAATTTTGATGAGCTCCCGATAGCTCCATTTAAAGTCCAACTATGGGAGGTGCAGGAAGATTGATGTACCCATCAGTTTGGTAGGAAAGTGGTGAATGCCACTCTTGGACGCGTGCTCGTAGTTGGCATGTTTTCCTGTATGGAAACGGCTCGACTCTTCATCAAAGTGAAGGTTCTGATTGATTTTTCCAATCGTTTGCTTTCGCAGATTATGGCCGTCAATGAAGAGACTGGTAACTTTTGGATACGCCTGAAGTATGAATATCTACCGAGCTTATGTTTTCACTATGGACGGGTCGGCCATTCCTGCCAAGCTTGTGCCTTTGACTCCTCTACCAGGAAAGAGAGGTTTGGTTAGCCCGTGTCGACTAAGAAATTGGGTCGAAAAGTCTATGATGAGGAGGAGGCACCTCGCCATTTTCCTAATCGATCGATTTGGATTAACAAGGAGCTTCAGGGGAGGGCGACCGCTAATCCCACGACTGCTCTTAGCTTGGGTACTGAGGCGAGATGTAGTATTGATATGAGGAAACAACCAGCTGTCGAGGTGAGCACTTTATGAATGGGCACTTCTGATAATCCCTTCACGGAGGTCGAACGAAATAGCCGTCGGAGGGGTAAGAGTCCCTTCGAAGTTCCTATCTCAAAAGCTCCCAAAATCATTATTGGGAAGCATTACCGCCAAGGCCACAAGAAAGTTGCAGCTGGTCCCAAACCTTGGCATAGACATCAAGGACGCAAGGCAGTGCTAGTAACTCAGGGACGAGGTTCACCATAGGGTGTGCAGTGGGAGGGTGATGTTGATCATCGTGTGGGGCAGGCTCGTGGGGGATACAAGCAAAATCGAGCTCCCCCCCTCTCTAGAGGATCCGCCGCTTCATAAGAAGGAGAATGAGGCATCTCAGAGGCATCGACTGATCTTGGAAGAGGAATCCGAGGATGAAATCCAAGTGGCTGATATATCCATGTAGCCTCGCAAAGCCCATCCGCAAAACATGATCGATGATAAAAAGAAGGGTCAGTGGAAAGGGGATAATTCCCCTAATACTCTGCATGCTGAGGAGGCAAACTGTCGGCTACGGAAATTTCCTGTTCCAGTTGCGGTAGTGCCTGCACGAAAGGTGGCTGTTAATGCTAGGTCCTCGCGCAACCATGATCTTCCCAAGTTTCAAGCTCGACCCCAGCCAAAAGGGATGTTAGCCCGCTACGCATTGATCCCGTCATTGGACTGTTAGAACCGTTGGATTCGAAGGTTACGCTATCAGAGGATGATATCCACCTTTTCAAACTGAAACGTCGCGCTTCGAATGGTAAAAAAATAGTTGCCTCGGCGTACTCAGATAGGTCGAGTGCACCAAGTGGTTCAGGCTTTCGAGGCTGGGCTAAGCATGAAAGATGCTGCTATTGAGTCAAGCCTGCGGAAACCTAGGCGCGGGAGGTTATAGAGAGGCAAGAGGCAGCTGACGGAGAGCATGTCCATTTGACCTTAGATGAATATGGGTCTAATTTGGCTGATCCTATGGGTGGAGGTACCAAGCGATTGCGTGATGATCTAGATGGCGACATTGAGGTTGCCCCTACACCAAAAAAATAATTCGTGGAAGAACTTAATGGAATGGAGAGGGTGGAGGAAGCCAACCTTGAGTGGCCCCAATCAAATAACTTAGGCTACTAGCCTGGAATGTGAGGGGAATTGGACCATCACTCACATTCCAAAATGCTGTTGGTTTGGTTCATTCCAATAAACCGGATCTCGTGTTTTTTCCCTGAAACACGATCGAGCCGGCGAGTAGTGTCCCGTCGTATGCGCGACTTAGGGTTTGATAGTTCTCATTGTTTCTTTGTTGATGCGATTGACGCATCTGGTGGGTTAGTAGTTTCTTGGTCCCCCGGGGTTGATGCCTCGGTGTTTTTTCACTTCAACTTCTGTATTTGCACCCAAATTAATGAAGTTGATTTATCTTACGTTGTGATTTCAGTTTACATTAGCTGTAATGTTGCAATAAGAGCCACCCAATTGGCTCAACTAAGGGATATTTGTGATGCCACCCAAATCCCCTTCGTGATCATAGGTGATTTTAATGCTACTCTTCATGAGAGCGAAAAAGATGGCGGGAATGCTTGGAATGCGACCCAATCTCTTAGTATGCGTGACTTTATTCATGACCTCGGCCTTCACAATCCTGGATATCAGGGTGACCATTTCACCTGGACAAACAGACAAATGGGTGCGGCTTGTATTCGTGAGAGACTGGACAGAGCATTGTGTTCTCAGAGTTGGATTGATCGATACCCTGACACCATGGTCAAACATTTCACGGATCAGGGGTCTGATCATCGGGCTCTCCTCCTCTCCGATAAGCCTTATACCAGAAATACTCGCCCTCTATTCAGATTTGATGCTCGTTGGGATGATAACCCAGAGGTCAAGGCGATGGTCCATTACGTCTGGCAGGAGGATATTCAGGGTACTCCGATGTTCCAACTTTGGGAACGACTTAAGAAACTTCACCATCTTCTCTATGACTGGAGTAGGGAGGGTACTACGAATTTTCTGCTCAATATTAGAACTCTCTAGGCTGAAATCGAGCGGATAAAATCAATACACCCTATTGACAGGGATGAGATCCGACTCCTGGAAATATAGTTAAATCGCCAATGGGAGGCTGAGGAAATCTATTGGCAGCAGAAGTTTAGAGTCCGATGGTTGAAAAAAGGGGATAAGAATACCTCATATTTCCATACAGTTACACGGACACGACGCAAACGAAATTTTATGGATGGCCTTCGTAATGACAGTGGTGACTGGATCATTGAGGAAAATGGGAAGGCAGCCATTGCTAGTGTTTTTTATCAAACTCTTTTCACCTCGGAGAATCAGGTGCAGAACATGGTTGAACGGGTGGCTAATCTCCCCATTGCCCATAGCATTACTCCGGAAATGAATGCCAGTCTTACGGCTCCAATCCTTCCTAGTGAAGTGAAGAAAAAAGTTTTTCTCTATGGGTTTCAAACAGGCGCCAGACTCTGATGGGTGCACTGGCAAATTCTTCAAAGCGTTTTGGAATATTGTTGGGAACTCGGTGATTGATATTTTCTGCTCGTTCTTCACGACAAGTAGGATGCTCCGTAGTTTCAACCATACTTGGCTAACATTGATCCCCAAAGTGGATAATGTGGAAACCATGACACAACTTCGTCCAATAAGTTTATGCTAGTTTGTGTACAAAATTATAACTAAAATCATGGTTGAGAGACTGGCTTGCCTGTTGCCGCAAATAGTCTCGGAAGGGCAAAATGCTTTTATCCGCGAGCACCAAATAGTTGAGAATATCCTCCTGGGACATGAGTTAATGCACTATCTAAAAATCAAAACGCAAGGAAAGAAAGTGTACATGGCTCTAAAGGTTGACATGGAAAAGGCCTATGATAGAGTCGAATTGCCATTTCTCCTTGCTGTTTTGGAAAAGATGGGTTTTAACTCAACCTAATGTGGGTG